CGTATGGTGGTCAGGAAGCTCGGCGCGTTGACGGACTCTCCGGTCTCGCGGATGGCCAGGAGCAGGGCGACCCGCGCGTCGAGGACGTCGGTGCTTTCCCGAGGTGTTCCTCTTCAAGGCGAGTCCGGCGCATTTCGAGCAGGTGGAAGGCCAATTTCCCAGAAGAGCTCAACGTAGCAGATTTCCCAGAAGGCAATTTCGAGCAGATTTCGAGCGTAGTGGTGCAGTACCATAGCATCTCCCAAGTGTGCAAAGTCACGTTCCAGAGGGCGGACGCGGCGGCCGAGTTCCGTCGCAAGGCGAACGCCAAGTGCCTCACCTGGCAGGATTTCCGCGACCAGTCAATTCACCCTCGAGGAGCAGGGCCGACCTTCCGCTCCAGGTGAGGCATAAGAAATGGGCCTCCTCGTCGATTTACCTGCAGGTGCTCGCGTCCCGTCAGCGGAACAGTGTTTTGGACTCCGCACACAAGCTGGGGGTCCAAGGACAGGGGTGCTTCAGGTGGTCGTTCGACATCATCCAAGCGGAGCAAACCATCGGCGATCTTTTCACTGTCGAGTACCATCGAGGCGTTCTGAAGGGCTCACCTGCAGGCCCACTGCCCCGCAGAGGACGGCTCCAGCGGCGAGAGGCTGGGGGGATCAGGCTCCGACCAGGTCGTTTCTAGTACTTGCCCCACGCGGCTTGCCATGTCCCCCCAGGACCTTGGAGAGCCCCTTGCTGTGTCCCTCTCGCCCTTCTGCCTCGCTCTCGCCCATAGTTGGTAGGTCTAGCTAGTGTCTCGGGAGAGCTGCCCAGTTTTCAGGGGCCCCCCTCCAATGATCCGCACATGCCCGACAAGCTCTCCTCTGATCAAACCCGTCTCCAGCATAAACATTCCAAGCTTCAAGCTCTCCGATAAACATCCGCCGCTCTGCGGTTGATCGGGAGTTTCTGTATATATAGAAGAAGGGGCGCGCGCTTCTGGGCGAGAGGGAAACGACCGAGAGAAGAAGGGGCGGCCGCCCCACAGGACCTCTCCATGGTGCCCGAAGCCCATCAGGGCTCCCTCAGGGCCCCTCCCCCAGGGCCGGGGCTCCCTCGCCTGCCCCCTCCCCCTCCTCCTCCTCCTCCTCCTCCTCCTCCTCCTCCTCCTCCTCCTCCTCCTCCTCCTCCTCCTCCTCGCCCCCGTCGGCATATCCAGGCGTGTTATGCAGTCAGGTCGTCCGTCCGGAAACGGTGCCGGAGGCCGCTCTGGGCTCCTCTGGGCATCCCCCCCGGGGCCCGTTTTGTGAGGATGTCTCAGGCGAGGGCGCCGGTTTGGGATTCGTCACCGGATCCAGCGGATCCAGCGGATCCGTCCGGAAACGGTGCCGGAGGCCGCTCTGGGCTCCTCTGGGCATCCCCCCCGGGGCCCGTTTTGTGAGGATGTCTCAGGCGAGGGCGCCGGTTTGGGATTCGTCACCGGATCCAGCGGATCCAGCGGATCCGTCCGGAAACGGTGCCGGAGGCCGCTCTGGGCTCCTCTGGGCATCCCCCCCGGGGCCCGTTTTGTGAGGATGTCTCAGGCGAGGGCGCCGGTTTGGGATTCGTCACCGGATCCAGCGGATCCAGCGGATCCGTCCGGAAACGGTGCCGGAGGCCGCTCTGGGCTCCTCTGGGCATCCCCCCCGGGGCCCGTTTTGTGAGGATGTCTCAGGCGAGGGCGCCGGTTTGGGATTCGTCACCGGATCCAGCGGATCCAGCGGATCCAGCGGATCCGTCCGGAAACGGTGCCGGAGGCCGCTCTGGGCTCCTCTGGGCATCCCCCCCGGGGCCCGTTTTGTGAGGATGTCTCAGGCGAGGGCGCCGGTTTGGGATTCGTCACCGGATCCAGCGGATCCAGCGGATCCGTCCGGAAACGGTGCCGGAGGCCGCTCTGGGCTCCTCTGGGCATTTTTGTGCCGGCGAGGGCGCCGGTTTGGGATTCGTCACCGGATCCAGCGGATCCAGCGGATCCGTCCGGAAACGGTGCCGGAGGCCGCTCTGGGCTCCTCTGGGCATCCCCCCCGGGGCCCGTTTTGTGAGGATGTCTCAGGCGAGGGCGCCGGTTTGGGATTCGTCACCGGATCCAGCGGATCCAGCGGATCCGTCCGGAAACGGTGCCGGAGGCCGCTCTGGGCTCCTCTGGGCATCCCCCCCGGGGCCCGTTTTGTGAGGATGTCTCAGGCGAGGGCGCCGGTTTGGGATTCGTCACCGGATCCAGCGGATCCAGCGGATCCGTCCGGAAACGGTGCCGGAGGCCGCTCTGGGCTCCTCTGGGCATCCCCCCCGGGGCCCGTTTTGTGAGGATGTCTCAGGCGAGGGCGCCGGTTTGGGATTCGTCACCGGATCCAGCGGATCCAGCGGATCCAGCGGATCCGTCCGGAAACGGTGCCGGAGGCCGCTCTGGGCTCCTCTGGGCATCCCCCCCGGGGCCCGTTTTGTGAGGATGTCTCAGGCGAGGGCGCCGGTTTGGGATTCGTCACCGGATCCAGCGGATCCAGCGGATCCAGTCCGGAAACGGTGCCGGAGGCCGCTCTGGGCTCCTCTGGGCATCCCCCCCGGGGCCCGTTTTGTGAGGATGTCTCAGGCGAGGGCGCCGGTTTGGGATTCGTCACCGGATCCAGCGGATCCAGCGGATCCAGCGGATCCGTCCGGAAACGGTGCCGGAGGCCGCTCTGGGCTCCTCTGGGCATCCCCCCCGGGGCCCGTTTTGTGAGGATGTCTCAGGCGAGGGCGCCGGTTTGGGATTCGTCACCGGATCCAGCGGATCCAGCGGATCCAGCGGATCCGTCCGGAAACGGTGCCGGAGGCCGCTCTGGGCTCCTCTGGGCATCCCCCCCGGGGCCCGTTTTGTGAGGATGTCTCAGGCGAGGGCGCCGGTTTGGGATTCGTCACCGGATCCAGCGGATCCAGCGGATCCGTCCGGAAACGGTGCCGGAGGCCGCTCTGGGCTCCTCTGGGCATCCCCCCCGGGGCCCGTTTTGTGAGGATGTCTCAGGCGAGGGCGCCGGTTTGGGATTCGTCACCGGATCCAGCGGATCCAGCGGATCCAGCGGATCCAGCGGATCCGTCCGGAAACGGTGCCGGAGGCCGCTCTGGGCTCGTGCTCTTCGCGCCGGGGGTGAGGATGACGTGAGTTCCACAGAAACTCCCTCAAACGAAACGGCATAGAATGCGCTCAGGAGTCTCACGGGTCTGAAAATGATCCTTCCCTCCTCCGTCGGGACTGTCGATAGCACAGCGCGTTCGGCTCTTCCGCCAGTTCTGCCAACGCGGGCGCGCTTCTATGCTTTGCTTCGCGGCACCTGCAGAGGGACTTCGTGACTTATGAATGTCGCGAAGATGGGGCGAATGGCGATGCTCTCTCTACCTCTCTCTCCTTTTCTCTTTCTCTCTCTCTCTCTCTCTCTCCCCCCCTCTCTATCACGTGTTGTTCTCTCTTTCTTTCTTTCTTTCTTTCTCTCTTTTTTTTTTTTTTTTCTCTCTCTCTCTCTCTCTCTCTTTCTCTCGGGGCCCCGTGGGGCGCCAAACCTAATGCATGTGCATGTAGACCTCGGTCTTCCAGCGCCTGGGGTGATGGAACAGTTCGGACCTAGTCTGGGTGGAATTCATGGGTGGAAGCGGCGCCGCGTTCGTCCTTGGGGAATTCAGTTGCCGTGGGTTCGTAGGCTGCAGGTTGAATGCGCGCACAGGGAGTTGACATGTGTACACTATGTAGGCTTGCAGGAGCGCGTCGCACAGTCTTTCCAGAATTTGCCGAGCTCGAGCAGGACTCTCCTTCCCACCGCCGCATGGCGCCTTCGCCCGCCCCCGCCCTCTCCTTCGCCTGATTGGGCGGAACCTAGACATCCCCGCCGCTGAAACAATGGACTTTGACCGTCAGAGCTCTAACGCATGGAATATCTCTGGCCTCTCCCCCCCCCTCCGACCGCTTCCCCGTTCATTGGGCACTTCGGCCACGAACGCCGAGAGGCGATGTGCATCTACCGGCGCGGATTTTGGCGCGGCCGTCATCTGCCGGCGTCTTTGAGGACCTTGCTGGAGGGCAGGGCGTCAGCGAGGGCCCCCATGCCAGGCTCTTTTTAAAATCAAAGAGGTGGTGTTTTCTGCCGCGCAAGCACGCAACGTGGAGATGTGCCGCGTTCAGGCCAACACCTGGAAGGGGGAACTCGCTCGCCGCCTTCGTCGCGCTCGGTCTCGCGGGGAGAATGTGAGAGAGGCGTCCATCAAGCCCTCTTGGATAACCCAGATCTCCAGGAATGCGATGGCAGCGACTGAGGCACCTGGGCCCACTTGGCTGGTTTTCCGGGGCACCTCAACCAGCTGACGCGCGCCGAGCTTGCCGACCAGGGTAATCAGATAAGGAACAGAACCCTGCAGGCCGACCCGAACTCGGCGGCATTTCGCGTGGATCGGATCCGACGGATGGCGCGCGCTTGAAAAGCAAGCCAGCGCGCGATTTCATGTCGCGGCATCTTCGGCGTCGATGGGGGCCCCAGCATCTCGACCCGAGTATCTGCGCTAGGGCACGCGCCGACCACTGGGGCGTTGTCTTTGCCAAGGGACTAGAGAACCCAGGAGCTGGGGGCGAATACCTTCGGCCCATCCCCCCTCTTCCTCTTGCCCCTCGCCAGTTCGCCAACCCCGCTCATCGGAGGTCCCCCTGGGCCCTCGCGCTCAATCCATTCCTGGCCGTTCAGGGCCCGACGGCATGCACTACAGTGCCTGGTGGGCCGCGGGTCTAGTTGCCCAGGAGACGCGGTTCGCAGCGCTCGAGCATCCTCTGGCCAGCCACCAGATGAGCGACGACTTCAATTTAGCCAATGTCGCTTTTTCCCCCGAGCGGTGACGTCGAGGGCCCATGTCACATCGTCGTAGAAGTCGTTGGCGCTAGACCGATCGCACTCTTCATTGCCGATAGTAAACTGATCAGCTGTGTGATCGCGCCCCCGATGCCCGAAGTCGCTCGCGAGTAATTGCGCCCCTCGCAACGGCCCATGTCGCTCGCGAGTAATTGCGGCGGGCAAATCATCGATCACGTTCCCGAGGTAGACTTCAACCTGTTTCATTGGCACGCCGTGCAAGGGCGCAAGAGTACAGGCGCCTGCCTCTCCGACGTCCGCGCAGCCTTCCGCTCCGCGCACCACTCCCGGACCTGTCTAGCGTTTGAAAGGCGCGCGGCATCCCCGTGCGCGCGGTTGCGATCACCAACCTCTATCACATGATGAAATGTCGCGTTCGAAGGTTCCAGCCCGCACCACTTCGCGGCGCGCCGAGGTGTCGAACAGGGTTGTCCGCGGCCTGGAGTTTTGTTCGCCTTCGCGTTCGACCCGCCCCTTGGGTTCCTCGAGCAGACGCCCCCCCCCTCGGGCTTCCGAACCTAACCGCTGCGTTCGCCGACGACCTCGGGGTGGCCGCCTGTGATTTTCTTGCCGCGATGCCCAGTGTTGTGCGTCGCATTTGTACGTGTGTGGGACGTCTGCTGGCCTCGTTCTGAAAATCCAGAGATGCGCCGTCGCTCTCTCGGGCTCGAGCGGCCCCGCCGGAGCTCGCGAAAAGTTCGCGCGTCTTGGGGTTCGGGCGCGCAGGTTCCACAGTCAGCCTTGTGGGAAACACTTCGGGTTTACCGTGGGACAAGATGTGCAGAGTCTTTCCTGGAAGACGTTTGCCTCTAAGGTCACAAAGAGGTCTTTGATGATCAAAGGCCTGTGGCCAAGGCTCACTTGCGGCACTGTGACACGTAAGCAGCATGCGATCTCTGTGGCCAACTACGTTTTGCACGAATTTCGGCCGACGCCGCCTGCTTGGCGCGCCGAGAGGGAGGTTTTGCAGGGGTGCGCCCGCGCGCTGGCCATCCTCGCTCGTTTCAAAGAGGCCGGCCTCAAGGTGCAGGCCAGATATTTCCACGTTCAGCGTCTCGCAGCCAGTCGCCAGGTCGCTGTGGATTCAGAGAACGCACAGTACTGGCCCAGAAACTGCATAACGCCCTGGAGGGAGTGGATACGCTGCTCACCTACCAGTCCTCGGAGGCCTTCCAGGATTCCCCATTCGTCCACATTTACCTCGCGGCCCAGGGCACCCAGTGCATACAAAGGCTCCCAGAGAGTCTGTCCAGGAAAAACGCGCAAACAAAGTTGGCCTTTCTCACCGCCACGATTTCCATACAATAAACAGATACCCCGCATCATTGCCCCAATGATCAAGACATGGGTTCCCCAAGTTTCGGATGCCGATGTAGATTATGCGTTCCGAATGTTGGTCACCTGCAGTGCGTTGGCCCCACCAGTTGTCCTCCTCGCGCTAGGCAAAAATGGTTTCAACAACTGTGACGCGACCAGGCGCTCCAGCTAAGAAGCCATTCCCTACAGCTTGTGTTGCGGCTGCGAAGGAGGCGTGCCATCTTCCCCACGCTGATTCATATCTTTCCTGCTTTTCCTGACGGCTGGGCAGATTAACCTCTGAGCTCCTACCTCCCTCACCTCTTGCCTCGTGCTCATGATGCGGCTTCCCCGAATTGTTTTATAGCCGTTGACTGCATTCGCTCGGCGTTTCAGGCCCTCCGCCCCCTTTCCTCTCCCCCTGCTGCTCTTGCTCGGCAAACTGTTGCTGCTTGTCCCGAAGTGATTGTCCGCAGGGGCCCCGATTTGCAAAGCCTGCTGAGGTAGGCGAGCTGTGGGAGACAAGGCCTTCATGCGGTGCGTTTCCTCTCCTCCCCGTCCTCCCTCCCCCCGATCTGTCGCCGCGCCGTGTGCTCCGACTCGCGGCCTTCCGTCTTGGGGAGAGCTCCTCGGCCACTAGGGTAAACGACGCGCAGGGCGCGGTGGGCTCGCCGTGGGGGTCGCCGCGGCACCAGCGTCGTCGATTTGGGTGCGGGAGGCAGGGTTTGCCGTGGGCTTGCAGTGATGTCGGCGGCGTCCACGTGGGCGCGTCGAGAACAAACGGCGCGGCGACATATGCCAGAACAAGGTCGGCGGCGAGTTTGTGGGGTAAGTGAGACAGGGCGGGCCTTCTCGGAAGGCTCGGGATTCCCTATGCCTTCTGAGAAGTTCTCTAAGTCTTCCCCGAAAACGTCAAAAACCTTTTCAGAAGACCAGAGGCCTTCTGAGAAACCCCGCCGCCTTCTCAGAAGGCCTTCTCCTTCTCACTACCCCCACTCGTTCGCCGCCGAATGTGCTGGCACCGGGGCTCTTCTGGGCTCAGGAGGGGCCCTTGGCTCTCGGGCCTCTCCCCGGACAGGGCCCCGGCGGCGCATGCGCGCGGTCATCGCGCCCCCGCCCTCGCAGCCCTGCGAGCGCCGTCGGTGTCGAGCATACGGTCCAGGCGCTGAACCAGGGACCTTCTTGGGTTCGAAAGGGGTTCGTTGTTCATTGTGTGGTTGCGTCCGTGCGGTTCGGGGAGGGTGCCCTCATATTCTTCGTGTCTGCCGGATGTTCTTGTGCACGCCGGGGGAGGGTGCCCTCAAGTGTTTTCCCGCCTGGCTGGCGGAGGGCCTCGTGCTCTTGCAGGGTGTTCTTGGGCCGTAGGTCCAGCCGCAGCGCCCCTCTTGCACCCGGGCCGCTCTGGTGCAAGAGAGGGACTCCGCTCCTTCTTCAGCGCTCCCCACGGCAGCAGCTTCCCCGTCTGTCATTCCCGCGCGCGGGTGCGGAGCCTGCCTCCCCCGGGCGCCCGGGGAACGAGGGAGGCCACGCTCGGTCAGGGCAGGGCGTGGGCTCGGCGCCGCGCCGGGGGGGGGGCAGGTTATCTCGTCGGTTTGTTCGGCGGTTTCCTCGGCGCTTCGAGGTTCGAGGTCGGGCTTTCGCACGGTTTCGTTGGGTTTCGGCGGTTTCCCGGGGTACGCTCCAGCAGCTGCGCCTCGCCGTGGGCGCTCCCGGGGTGCCCAGATCGTCCTGAGCGTCCGCCTGAGACCCCCGTTAGGACCCGAAAACCAGTCGAATTCCGCCGGAGGTGAGATGGTGCAGGCCTTGCTCGGAGGTGCCCCGAGCAGCCCTCCGTAGTTTCGCAGCAGGCTTAGAAAGCTTTTCAGAGGGCCGCAGGCCGTCTGAGCCTTCTGATACGGCTCGCCCCCTCTGCCTTTCCCCCTGGGCGCGCCGCCGAGTGGCGAGAGTCAATGGAGGAAACAAACACCGCGACCCCGGTAGCTGGCGTTTACCAGACGGCCTTGGGCGCTTCCTGAACAGCCCTGCCCTGTTCGATGTATTCCTTGTGCGTGTTTGCTGCACGACTTCGCTTCTCGGGGTGATTATTACGAGGCGGGTGCAAGAGCGCCGCGCCCCGCGCGGCAACCCCAAGACGATCGCCGCGAGGGCCGTGCTCCTGCATGGCGAGGAGGCGGGAGGAGCAGGCAGGAGCGGCCAGCGGCAGTGGGGAGGCAGCGGCAGGAGCGGGCGCCACACCGGCTCGAGGGAGCGCCAACGTGGATCAGGGCGCTTGGATCAGCGACGGGTCCCGTTTCCGTTCAGAGCGGGCGCGCTCATGCCTCGGGGGTGCCTTCCCCGGTCCACGGGCCCCTACTCCGTGTCTGCGCGCGCTCCGTTGGCACCCCGTCGCAGCTTCGGCAGCGCTTCCGCCCGCCTCGGCGGCGACGCTCCGCCCGCCCAGTCCTCCGGCGCTGGGGCGGTGGTGTGCGAGACGTGGCTCGGCTTCCTCCAGCGCTTCCCGTGCTGGCGCGCCGCCGCGTGGCCCCGCGACAGCGCGCACGCGGAGCCCGCCGCCCGCCCCCGCTCGTGCGCCGCCGCGTTGCCTGCTGCGCTGCTGCGCTGCTGCTGCCCCTGCGTTCTCGGGGAAACGTAAGACTCGAGTACAGTCGGACCGAGGTTCGGGGAGGGTAATTCTTATGATTTCTTCTTGTTTGGTGGATGTTCTTGCACACCCTGAGCAGGGTATCTTTGGATGTTCTGTGTTTTTGCTGGCGGAGAGTCTCATGTTCTTGGAGGATGTTCTGCTGTCCTAGGTCCGACCGCACGCTGGAGTTCGGATTCCCCTAAGCTTGCAGCGGGAGCTCGCGTCAGATTTCAGACTGGTTCTCGTCATTTTCCCGACGGCCCCGTCAGGCCAACCCGAGTCCCTCTAACTCGAGTCTTACGTCTCCCCGACTTTGGACTCATCTGTGCGGACAAGCTTCGTCGCGACCACCTGTACAAGCGAGGGCGCACAACCGAGCCACTACACTCATATCTTCTGTTAAGAAACTCCCTCCCGCCAAGCTGGGCCTCAAAATTTCTTAAAATTCGATAACGAATTCCCGAAAGCTGGCTCAGTTTCTTAACGCCGGCATCTTCTTACTGATCTTCCTCCAGATCTTCGGGATCTTCTTCCAGATCTTCGTCGAGATCTTCCTCCGGATCTTCCCTCAGATATTCTTCCCGATCTTCTTCTGTATTCTCTCCGAGAGTTTCCCCCAGATCTTCGCCCAAATCCTCCGAGATCTCCGCCCAGATCTTCCTTCAGATCCTCGCCCAGATCAATCCCTCCTTAGATCTCCCCCCCCAGATCTTCATAGAGATCTTCCCCTAGATCTTTCCCCTGATTTTCCTTCAGGTTTTCTCCCAGATCTTCCCCTGGATCTTCCCCCAGATCTTGCACCAGATCTTCATTCAGATTTCCTCTCAGATCTTACTCCCGATCTCCTTCCGGGTCGCCACGCAGCTCTTTCTCCAGATCTTTCCCCTGATCTTTCTCCAGATCTTCCCCCAGATCTTCCTCCAGATCTTCCTCCAGATCTTCCTCCAGATCTTCCTCCAGATCCTCCTCCAGATCTCCCTCCAGATCTTCCTCCAGATCTTCCTCCAGATCTTCCTCCAGATCTTCCTCCAGATCTTCCTCCAGATCTTCCTCCAGATCTTCCTCCAGATCTTCCTCCAGATCTTCCTCCAGATCTTCCTCCAGATCTTCCTCCAGATCTTCTCCAGATGTTCCTCCAGATCTTCCTCCAGATCTTCCTCCAGATCTTCCCCCAGATCTTCCTCCAGATCTTCCTCCAGATCTTCCTCCAGATCTTCCTCCAGCACCAGCAGAATCACCAGCAAAATGAACAACGCGACCACCAGCAACATGTCCAGCAAAACCACCTGCGCAAGTATTAACAAAGAAATTTACTCGAAATCTCCGCCAACGCACCAGCACTTTATCCACTGGGTGTTTCCTCCGCCAGCGTGCCAGCAGAATCCCCAGCCAAACCACCATCCGCCTCTCCAGCAAAACTAGTGGCAGAAATACAATCGCAACCACCACCACCACGAGCGCAACCATTATCGCAACTAGCAGCGCCATCACCAGCAAAATCGTCACCAGCGAAACCACCATCAAAACGAGCAGCACGACCGACAGCACACAGACCAGCGCAACCACCAACAGAGCCACCAGCATAATTATCATATCTTCTTCCAGATCTTCCTCCAGATGTTCCTCCCAGATCTTCACCGGATCTTCCCTCCAGATCTTCCTCCCAGGTATTCCCCCAGATATTCACCCAGATATTCCTCCCAGATCTTCCTCCCAGATCTTCCTCTCATATCTTCATCACAGATCCTCCTCCCAGCTCTTCCTCCATCATATATTGTTCCAGATCTTCCCCCCGGATCTTCACCCAGATCTTCTCCCTGGATTCAATCGGATCTTCATCCAGATCTTCCTCCAGATCTTCCTCCAGATCTTCATCGAGATCTTCCTCCAGATCCTCCTCCAGATCTTCCTCCAGATCTTCCTCCAGATCTTCCTCCAGATCTTCCTCCAGATTTTCCCCCAAATCTTCCTCCAGATCTTCCTCCAGATCATCCTCCAGATCTTCCTCCAGATCTTCCTCCTGATCTTCCTCCTGATCTTCCTCCAGATCTTCCTCCAGATCTTCCTCCAGATCTTCCCCCAGATCTTCCTCCAGATCTTCCTCCAGATCTTCCTCCAGATCTTCCTCCAGATCTTCCTCCAGAGGTTCCTCGAGATCATCCTCCAGATCTTTCTCCAGATCTTCCTCCAGATCTGTCCAGATCTTCCTCCGGATTTTCCTCCAGATCTTCATCCAGATCTTCCTCCAGAGGTTCCTCGAGATCATTCTCCAGATCTTTCTCCAGATCTTCCTCCAGATCTGTCCAGATCTTCCTCCAGATCTTCCTCCAGATCTTCCTCCAGCTTGCATGATCTTTCTTTAGATCTCCCCGCAGATCCTCATCAATATCTTCACACATCTCGTCCGATCTTCCTCCAGATCTTCCTCAGTTTCTTTCCCCAGATGGTCGTTTCAGATCTTCTCCCATATCCACTCCCATCTTCCTCCAGATCTTCCTCTGGGTCTTCCTCCAGATCTTCCTCCAGATCTTCCTCCAGATCTTCCTCCAAATCTTCCTCCAGATCTTCCTCCCAGATCTTCCTCCAGAACTCTTCCTCCAGATCTTCCTCCAGATTTTCCTCCAGATCTTCCTCCAGATCTTTTTCCAGATCTTCCTCCAGATCCTCCTCCAGGTCTTCCTCAAGATTTTCCTCCAGATCTTATTCCAAATCTTCCCCCAGATCTTCCGCCAGATCATCCTCCAGATCTTCCTCCAGATCTTCCTCCAGATCATCCTCCAGATCTTCCTCCAGATCTTCCTCCAGATCTTCCTCCAGATCTTCCTCCAGATTTTTCTCCAGATCTTCCTCCAGATCTTCCTCCAGATCTTCCTCCAGATCTTCATCCAGATCTTCTTCCAGATCTTCCTCCAGATCTTCCTCCAGATCTTCCTCCAGAGGTTCCCCGAGATTGTCCTCCAGATCTTCCTCCAGATCTTCCTCCAGATTTTCATCGAGATCTTCCTCTAGCTTGTTCCCCGTGCGTTCATCCAAATACTCCCCCAGATCTCCCTTCATATGCTCCTGCCAGATCTTCCCCCACATTTTCCCCCAGATCTTCTTCCAGATTTCCATAGATCGCCTCCCGGATTTTGCTCTGGCTGTTCCCCCGGATATTCCCCCAGATCACCACCCCGATCCCCGCCCATATGTTGACGTGTTCCTGTATGTTGTTTGCTGCAGAGCCCCCGGCGCCGCAATCGGCACAATCACCGGCACAATCTTCATCGGAACCACCCACACTGGCGTCGCGCTGCGCTAAGAAATTGCACGCTTCAAAGCTGGCTCTCGCAAGGGGGCTAAGAAATTCAGCGAAGCTGGGTCTCAATTTCTTACTGGAAGATTTCTTAGCATAAGTTTTGAGTGTATTGCGCCACCGGTAGCGGAGGAGACGAGCACCGCAGTGGCTCGCCCCCAGAGGACGGCAATCCGCGGCCGTCAGTCGCGAATCGGCTGTTGTTGCTGCTGCCAATGCTGCTGCTGCCCATGCTGCTGCTGCTGCTGCTGCTGCTGCTGCTGGCTGCTGCTGCTGCTGCTGCTGCTGCTGCTGCTGCTGCTGCTGCTGCTGCTGCTGCTGCCCCGTGTCGCCGCCTTGGTCCCAGCAGTCCAGCGATGTGATTCTTTCTTTCAGCCAGCGTTTTTGTCCTCGGTTTTGGCCCCTTCAGGAGCCAGGTCCTCGGGTCGTCGGGAGGACCCAGGTCTTCGGGTCGGGAGGACCCAGGACCTGTGTCCTCCCGACCCGAACAGGATTCATATTGTGCTGCAGAGTGCCTGTTGTATTGTTTTTGACGGGGATGGTGGGGGGTGGCGGCATTAACCCTGGTTAGTCGCCGCCCGAGTGGGGGTAGGGGGCGTTGATGAATAGGGAGAACTGGTGAACCCCTCCTGGAAGGGAGGAGGGAAGAACACATTCCCTTGACGGGATGACCCACCCTTCTCACGCGCTCCCTCCCGAAGGGAGGACCACCTATCCCAGACCCCTGACGTCGCGATTTTTCACAACGTGGACCCCGAGAGGTCTGGACCCCTTCCCAGGGGCAGCTTCTTATCCCGAGCCTGTTTTGTTGACGGCCCGAAGCCGAAGCCGAAAACAGCCAGGCATTTACCGTCGCGGAGAGAGTTGTTTCAAACTCCTCTGGCGATAACGAGCGTGACCGTGGGAGGGGGGAGGGCCAGTCACGTCACGATTTGCGCCCGCGCCGTTTTGGGAATGCCTTGGAATGGCTAGTTCCCAGACGGCGCCGGCGCGAAGGGCGGGGCTGGTCACGGGCGCTTTCGCGAATGGTGAATGGGCTCGTGGTTCTTCCGCAGCGAGGAGAGGCCTTGGACTGACACCGCTGGCTCACGAGGAGCGCGCTCGAGGCGACCTGGCCGCCCATGCCCGCTCGGGCGCGCGCGTGACTCCAGGCCTCCCAGATGGGGTCAGTGGGGTCGGAGGGTCGCGCCGCATCGTCGATGCATCGGCGATTCAACTCGATGCGGAGCCCGATTTCGTCGCCGATGCGTCGCCAACGTCGCTGGGCTTCACTGCCGATGCGGCGCGGTCCCCCGAACCCCATCTCCTCTGGCCCCATCTGGGAGGCCTCCCCTGAGATCCGACGTCGCGAGGAAGTTGCACCACAGTAAGAAAGAACTCGACCGGAGCCCTGGACCCCATCTTTCTGCGCCACCGTTCGCAGCGTGCCGATCCGAGAGGGTCCCGCGGGGCCCGAAGCTGGGCGAGATCCCCTGGTGTGAACAAATCAGCGGCGCGTTCGCTTGCCCCGACATTGGACAAAAACGAGCTGCTCGCGTGAGGTAGCACGCAAACGCCCTCGTCTCCAGTGCGGCGCGCCGCGCTGGCGGCCTGCGGAAGCCGCGGCGTAAGGTCACGGTCGGACCGAGGTACAAGATCGAGGCCGGCTCGGGGAGGGTGCCCTGACGTTCTTCGTGTCTTGTTGGGTGTCCTTGTGCATCCTTGGGGCGGTGCCCTCGAGTGTTCTCTTCGGTTTGGCCGGCGGAGCTCCCCAGTGTTCTCGAAGGATGCTCTTCTGTCCCGGGCCCGGCCGTCAGACCCGCTCTTGATCGCCGCTCAAACGGCAACGCCCAGACCTCCGGGCAGGGGCCCCCCCCCCCCAGCGCGGCGGCCGCAGAGCAGGGGCGCCGCTCGATGGCGGCCTCCGCGGCGCCGCCCGAGGAGGAGGCGCCGCTCGCACCCGGGCGCGGCCCGCAGCTGCAGAGCCCTCGTGGCCGCGGCCGCACGCGCAGAGCTCTCGCCGCCGCGGGCCTCGCCGCCGCGGCCGGCGCCTTCGTCGCCGCCTCCAGCCACAGCCACACGGTCGGGAAGTCTGATCAGGAGCCAGAAAAGCACGGACACAATGAATCGTCGATTCCCCAGAAAGTATGGGAATATTATCCCGGCAAAGCAACCTAGCAGCGATGTGTAGAAGCATATCTGAAAGCATTCCCCTTACGATTCAGATGAAAATCTAGTTGTAGAATTCTGCTGTTCTCGCAGTCGTAGTCGCATTCGCGATGACAGTCGCAGCGGCAACGGCAGTCGCAGTCACAGCCTCAGCCTCAGCCTGCCTCAGCCTCAGCCTCAGCCTGCCTCAGCCTCAGCCTGCCTCAGCCTCAGCCTCAGCCTGCTTCAGCCTCAGCCTCAGTCTGCCTTCAGCCTCGGCCTCAGCCTCAGCCTGCCTCAGCCTCAGCCTGCATCAGCCTCAGCCTCAGCCTCAGCCTGCCTCAGCATCAGCCTGCCTCAGCCTCAGCCTCAGCCTGCCTCAGCCTCAGCCTCAGTCTGCTTCAGCCTCAGCCTCAGTCTGCCTTCAGCCTCGGCCTCAGCCTCAGCCTGCCTCAGCCTCAGCCTGCCTCGGCCGCAGCATCAGCCTGCCTCAGCATTCAAAATGTGGCCCAGGAACGGAGTTCTGGGAACTAGAAGAACACGAAGTGGCCTACAGTTGGCTCCGGGCATTCAAAATGTGCCCGGAATGGAGTTCTGGGAACTTGAAGAGCACGAAGTGGCCTACAGTTGGCTCCGGGCATCCAAAATGTGGCCCGGGAATGGAGTTCTGGGAAGTCGAAGAGCACGAAGTGGCCTACAGTTGGCTCCGGGCATCCAAAATGTGGCCCGGGAATGGAGTTCTGGGAAGTCGAAGTGGCCTACAGTTGGCTCCGGGCATTCAGAATGTGGCCCGGGAGTGGAGTTCTGGGAGGTCGAAGAGCACGAAGTGTGTGACTGTTTGCGAAAAAACGAGTGCGGCGGCAGCCGCGCCGGGTCCCGCCCCGGGTCCCGCCCCGACCCCCCTGAGGAGTCATGATGCTCTCTTTTGACCCCACTAAAAACCTATCAGTCTTCGCTGTTAGGTAACATGGGAAGTAGGGGGAAGACAAAAAAACAGAAAATATGGAAAAATTGGGAATCCTGTTATTCTTCAGGCTTACGCCACATCCGCCGACCCCTTAATTGAAGTCAATGATGAGATGGTTCGAAGCCGTTTGGCGGTCGATTTGGGATTCTTGTCGGGTTTCTTGGGAGCTCTTCGGGGCCTGAGGGGGGCATCTGTGGGGCTGTTCGGGCTACTCCTGGGCTCGTCTTCGAGCTCTCTTGGGCTTCTTTGGGCTCTTCTTGGGCTGCTTTGGCGTCCTCGTGGGCCGTCTTGGGGCCTCTTAAGGCTTTCTTGGCCCGTCTTTAGGCCCTCTTGCGGCCGGAAAAGTCCCGTGGTGCGCTCGTCGTCGGCCCGGGGGGGGGGGGCCAAATCTCCGGTTTGGGGTTCTGGGGGTTATGGGGGGGAATTATCTCACACGCCTAGAGACCCACAAGGGGTCGGCGGATTTTATCCGAAAGCTTCCACGGGTCGTCCACGAAGTGGTTGCCAAGGACAAAAAGCAGAACGTCAAGTTACGTTGCCATCACGCGCGTGCGTGGGCGGGAGAATCTGCTGATCTTTCGGCCGTTTGATATGAGTCCGTACAACGCAGGTGAGATGGCGGGCGCGAAAAAAAACTATTGCAGGTACTGCGAGGGGAGACCGTGGATTGGGATGAACGGGGGGCGGAACGAAGTGATGCCAAGGGATCAGTGCGAGCGCTGCCGGCGGAGTTTGCTGGTAGAGGCGTCCACGAAGTACGAGTTCCAGAGGAAGGAAAGGCCAGCGTTCTGCAAAGAGTGCACGGAAGAGATGAAGATCGGTGACGAAAAATGGTGCACAACGTGCAAAGAGTGGGCAACGAGAGCCGAGGGACACGATGCGCGTCGAAACGGTAGCGGTCGGGACGCGGATGCAGCGCCGGACGGCGGGGAGACGAAAAGGATTCGGACAATGTATTGCGCGAAGTGCAGCCATGTCAAAGCCAAGCAGAAGTCGCGGAGCGGCAACGCAGAGTGGAACGATAGCGTCGGCACTGTGCGATGTGCGAACGAAAAGTGCCTGTCGCTGTACGACGAAAAGGTGGATATGTCGGAAGTTCAGAAGAAGCACGACGCAGCGGGGGAGAGGTTGTGTCGGAAGTGCGCGGAAGGGCGGGAGAAGGCGGTTTTGCGGACGAATTACGAAGCAGGGAATCGCGAACGGAAAGCGGAGGCGGACGCGAAGACGCTGACGTGCGCAGCGTGCGGAGGAGAGTTCTCGGACACGAAACATTTGAAGCAGGATCAAGTGGAGGATCATCGAAAGGCGAAAGGAGCAAAAGTGGTGCGGAGGCTGCAAGGAACTCGGGCTCACGGCGCGCAGTTGCCAGGCGTATCAGTGCAGCGGCGCGCGCAAGAGAAGATTGCCTAAGCCGGCCTTCTCCGCGAACCCTGCCCACGCCGCGCGCGATGAAAAGAAGGGCACCCTGAAGTGCAAGATGTGCAAATGATGCCCAATCGGGCGCGCGTGCTGGGGAGGGAACAAAGGCGAGGAGAGAAGGATGGGGGGTAAGGCAGAGAGCGGGGGGGGGGGGGATAATCGAAGAGGATGAGAATGAGGCGGGGGTGGAAGAGGAGGAGGGGACGATGAGTCCGTGGAGGAGGAGGAGGAGGGGGAGGAGAAGGAGGGGGAGAGGGACACAAAGAGGAGGCTCTGGGTTATGGGTTACGGGTGAGCGGCTTCTTGCATGTGCATCGGGATTTCGCGGCACGCCTCTCGGGAACCTTGGGGACCGAGGTGGAGGAGGGGGGGAGGAAAAGGAGGGGGGCGCAGAGAGGAGGCTCTGGGTTATGGGTTATGGGTTAGAGGCTTCTGGTATGTGTATCGGGATCTCGTGGCGCGCCTCTCGGGGGCCTCTGGAAGGCAGTTGCGACGTTGCCTCTCGGGAGCCTAGGGGGGCCGATGTGGAGAAGGAGGGGGAGGAGAAGGAGGGGGACACACAGAGGAGGCTCTGGGTTATGGGTTATGGGTTGGAGGCTGCCTGTATGTGTATCGGGCTCTCGCGGCGCGCCTCTCGGGAGCCTGTGGAAGGCAGTTTGGACGATATTTGGGAGCCGTTTCGGAGGCTCTGGGAGTCTTCTGGGTGCCTCCTGGAGGGCCTTTGGGGGGCTCCTTGGGGCGTCTTGGCCGCCTTTGGGGGGCCTCTGCCGGCCTCTTGGGGCACTCTTCGGGCTCCCTGGGGCTCCCGGGGGCCACGTAGAATTTTGAATTTTTTGTTGGGCTTTTCGGCTCCTCTTGGTGTCGTCTGGGAGCCCTCTTGGGCCGTCGTGGTCCCTTTTGAGCCGCCTTGGGGCCATATTAAGCCGTCGTGGGGCCGTCTTGGGGGGTTCTTTTGGGGTGTCTTGGGGCGGTCATCGGGGCCTCTTGGGCCGTCTTGGAGCGTCGGAAAACCAACGCGGCAAATGTGTGAACAACAATTACGTTTTACGAAGGAGATGGGCCACATTTTGCGTCTAGGGACCCTCTTGGGACGCACCTTGGAGGCCTCTTGGGGGCGTCTTGGGCCATCTGGATACCATCTCGGGTGTCTTTGATCGCTCTTGGACCGTCTGGGACCATGTGGAACTCTCTTGGAAGCCGGTGGGAGCGCTCTTGGAGCGCTCTTGGGGCCGTCTTCAGGGCTCTCTTGAGGCCGTCTTCGGCGCCTCTGGAACCGTCTTGGGCCCCTCTTGGGCTGTCTTGGGGCCCTCTTGGAGGCTTTTTGGACCGTCTTGGTGCGGTCTTGGAGGCCCCTGGGGCCGTTTGGGAGTGTCGGAGAGCCCAAAAGGCGAATTTGTGAAACATCTACGTTTCACAAAGGAAACGGACCAAGTTCTGCGGTTAGAGATCTGGGCTTTGCAATTTGTTCACCCAGGACGTTTTCGCCCAGATTCGGGCCCTGGGGCACGCATCGATCCAGTTGGGAACGCTGCAGAAATATTGGTTCTATAGGGCCCTGGTCGTGAGTTCTGACGACGTTGCAACTTGTTCTCAACGTCGGATCTCAAGGTAGCGTGTCGCGCTGCCAGTTCTGGCCCACCACGCCTCGGCGCGACACTCTAATCACGTCCCATTCTCCAGGCATCAGCGTCTCGAGCTTTACCCAGCCCCCCCGTGGAGCGGGGCGGCCCGCTATCTGCGTGCAGGGCATGGCGTGTCGCTGGGGCCGCCGCTGCGACACGCTGAGCAGAAGTTCCTGACCGTAGATGCTCGTCCTGGGAATCCTCTTGACGCCCACCTAGTTGATCTGTTCGACTCTATTTTGGATCCAGTGTCACGGGTCAGGGAGGATCTGATAGACAGAAGGGATTGTGGAGGGGTAAGTTTGTGTGTCGAAAGGCCTCGCACGTCACCTCGGTGACTCCTCGGAGACACGCCTAAAGCCAAAATGGCTGTACACCACAGTCGAACACGGGGAGGGGAGATCGGGGGGGCAGAGGTACCCCACGGTCGAACACGAGGATGGGAGATCGGGGGGCCAGAGGTACCCCCTGAGGGAAGCAAAGGATGACACCAGTTTGGGTCTAGTTCGGCTCTAGCTAGACTCAAGGTCGACTCTAGCTCGACTCACGTCGACGGACGTTCGACGCAGCGTTGGCGCATGAGTGGAGCGAGTGGCTCCAAGAAAGTCCCCAGAACGAGCATCGAAGCATCCAAGCCCATCGCATGTCGCCACAGATAGGGGCCTCTGTGAATGGGACCTCCGGCCACATCAGCCTCATGGACGGGAAGACCGCGGCGGCGTTTGACAGCGAGGCTGGCCCCGAGCCCGTCCCTCCGGCTGGCGGGTTCCAACCTGGCCAGTCTTCTGGGCCGTCGGAGACATGCCCGCCCGGCTGCAACCCAGACAGCGGCAGGATATGTTGCGGCTCGTCTTGCTGCGCCGCGGGTGGCATCTGCTGCAACAACAGGCACGGCCTCTGCTGCTCGAAGGGCAGCGTCTGTTGCGGGTTCCACAAGTGCTGTGCCTCGACGCTAATGTGCCAGCAGTCTTCCGTTGTTGACCCCACGTTTCACCAGGCGCAGTGCGGTAGCGGCCAGCAGTTCTGAGATCTGCCGTGGCAGCCTGATCGCGGGCCATCTCGAGAATGCAGCAAATCTTCTTGCCCTGTCGTGATCGCCGAGCCTCGAAAGGTTACGGTTCACACTTTGCGTGTCCTTGTCCAGCCCATCCAGGAACCAGGGCCGCGCTCTTTCTCTTGGGGGGGCCTTTCGGGGACATCTTGACTCTTGAGGGCCCCGTGGGGGCGCATCGGCGGCCTCTTCCATCTTGGCGTAAAAGCCTCCGCGACGAGTTGGGAAGCTTCTCGCCACGAGCTATAGGGCGATCTTGTCTTCCCAGGCAGGGCAAGGACAGGAAGTGGCAAGAGGCAGGGCATGCCTCCAAGATGGCGCAGTAGATTGGCGTCGCTGCCCCAAGATGGCCCCCCTGGCATGGTTCCAGAAGGCCACGAGGCATCAGCATGATGGTTGTCATGTTGCAGCATGGCATGCCAAGGATATTACCACAAGAAGCCAGCACTTGTCAAGTGCCATAGTAAGGATGTGCTACTTCATCTAGGCTGCGCTTACACCCCTGAGCCAACGTTGACGTCCCAGGAGCTCTACATGGTGAATGAGACGGCCAATATCGTTGCATCCTTACTATGGGTTTTGACTGTAGCACTTCACTGATTCTGGCCTCCCTAGGTGGCCCTGAGATGCATTGGCTGACGCCGCACTGCCAACCCCTTGGGGTGGCAGTCAGAGTGAAAAACTAATTCTTTACGCTTCGCGTATCCCCACCAGCCCATCTCACAACAGCAACTCTTGCGAAGCATGCCGACAGTCGTGTTTTTCAGGCGTGTGTCCGCTTGGCCCCGCATATCTCCCCTGTTCCTCCTTCCTCCCGCCTCCTTGTACATCCTCCTTGTGGGGGGAGCGGGAGAAGGACGAGGCGGAGGAGGAGGGAGAGAAAGCGCTCCTCGTGGTTTGAGTCGTTGGGGTTTCTCGTCCTGGTGTGAGTCGTTCGGGCCCTTCTTCCTGGTGTGAGTCGTTCGGGCTCTTCGTGGTGTGAGTCGTTCGGGCTCTTCGTCCTGGTGTGAGTCGTTCGGGCTTCTCGTGGTGTGAGTTGTTCGGGCCCCTCGTCCTGGTGTGAGTCGTTCGGGCCCCTCCTCCTGGTGTGACTCGTTCGGGCTCCTCGTGGTGTGAGTCGTTCGGGGCCCTCGTCGTGGTGTGAGTCGTTCGGGCTCCTCGTGGTGTGAGTCGTTCGGGCGCCTCGTCCTGGTGTGAGTCGTTCGGGCCCCTCCTTCTGGTGTGAGTCGTTCGGGCTCTTCGTGGTGTGAGTCGTTCGGGCCCCTCGTCCTGGTGTGAGTCGTTCGGGCTCCTCGTGGCGTGAGGCGTTCGGGCACCTCGTCCCCTTTTGGGGCGTCTTGGGGGCCTCTTGGCGGCCCCAGGGGCTTCTAGGAGCGTCTTGGGTGCCTTGGGGGAGCCTCTTCGGGCCTCTTGGGAGCCTCTTGGAGGCCGTTTGGGGCGTCTTGGGGGCCTCTTGGCGGCCCCAGGGGCTTTCCAGGAGCGTCTTGGGTGCCTCGGGGGAGCCTCTTGGGGCCTCTTGGGGGCCTCTTGGGGGCATCTTGGGGGCCTCTTGGAGGCCTCTTGGGGGCCTCCTGGGGGCCTCTTGGGGCCATCTTGGGGCCTCTTGGTGCCTCCTGGGCGCTTCTTGGGGCCATCTTGGAGGGAATGGATCAAAGAAGAGGGGAGCTTTAATGAGCGCTGCCCCCTCAGAAGGGCAAAATGAGCCCAAAACCTTCGTAAAATCAATGGTTTTGCCTTGAAGGAAGAGGGGAGCTTGAAGGAGCGCTGCCCCCTCAGAAGGGCAAAATGGGGCCAAAACCGTAGTCAAATCAATGATTCTTCAGGCTTCCGCCACATCCGCCGACCCCTTGGATTTTCCCCGGGATCGTTCACCACAGCTTCCTTGCAAACCGTGGGAAAATGAGGTTGTTCAGGGCCCGTCACAGCGAGAAGGGGAGCCGACATGGGTCGCAAACTGGCCCAGAGGGCTTCCAGACGGCCCAGGCGAACCCCAAGACGGCACAGGGAGGTTTTTTGGGTTGTGTTTGGGGCCTTGCACGGGTGCCGGAGCCAGGGAAGTATGTTACACCCCAGAGACATCTTACGGTTGTCGGCGGTTTCCAAGCGGGATGTCCCGCTAACTGTTAATGTTCGGAGATGTTTGGGCTGACCTTGTCGATGGCAATGACGTCGTTGATGATCACGACACTGATGACGATGATCGGCTCCCTCTCCTCCTCTCCTCCTCCCCCTGCTCCTCCCTCTTGCTCCTCTTTCTGCCTCTCCTCCTCTTCCTTCTCCTGCCCTTCCTCCTCCTCCTCCTCGTCCACGTCCTTCTTCCCTTCCCTTCCCCGCCTTCTTCTCCTCCTCCTTTTTGTCCTTCTCCTGCTGTTCCTCCTCCCGCCCTTCGTCCCTCTCCTCCTCCTCCTCCTCCTCCTCCTCCTCCTCCTCCTCCTCCTCCTCCTCCTCCTCCTCCTCCTCCCCCGCCTTCTCCTCCTCCTTATCCCCCTTTCTTTCCCGGCCTTCTCCTCCTCTTCCTCCCCCGCCTTGTCCTCTTCCTCCTCCTCCTTATCCTCCTCCTGCTCCTCTTCCCCTCCCTCCTTCTCCTGTCGCGGGGCCCTCGTGGAAGCTTCTTGGACCGTCTTGGTGCGGTCTTGGGAGGCTCTCGGGCCGCCCCGGAGCGCCCCAGAAGGCGCACGTGCGAAAAATACACGTTTGACGAAGAGAACGGGCGATTTTATACAGCGAGAGGCCCTCCAGGGGCGCATAGTGAAAGCCTCGTGGGGCGTCTTGGGGGGCCTCTGCAGCCGTCGGGAGGCCGTCGTCAGCGTTTTGGATCGCTCTTGGACCGTCGAGGACCACGTGGAGCTCTCGTCGAGGCCGCTCGGACCGCTCCTGGAGCGCTCTCGGAGCCGTTTTCGGAGCCCTTTTGGGCCGTCTTGGACGTGCGTTTGCGCGTCTTGGGGCCCTCGAGGGCTCTGTGGGAACCCTCTTGGGGGCGTCTTGGGCCGTCTGGGAGCGGGTTTGGGTGGCTCTGGGGCCGTCCAGGAGCGGGGGACACCCCAAAAGGCGCACGTGTGAAACAACATACGTTTGACAAAGGAAACGAAGGAATTTTTGCGTCTAGAGGCTCTCTGTGGGCGCATCGTGGATGCCTCTTGGGGCGTCTTGGGGGCCTCTTCAGCCGTTTGGAGGCCGTCGTCAGCGTTTTTGATCGCCCTTGGACGGTCGAGGACCATGTGGGGCTCTCTGCGAGGCCACTCGGACCGCTCCTGGAGCGCTCTCGGAGCCGTTTTCGGAGCCCTTCTGGGCCGTCTTGGACGTGTGTTGGCGCGTCTTGGGGCCTTCGAGGGCTATGTACGGACCCTCTTGGAGGCGTCTTGGACCGTCTGGGAGCGGGTTTGGGGGGCTCTGGGGCCGTGCAGAAGCGGGGGTCACCCTCAAAGGCGCACGTGTGAAACAATATACGTTTTACGAAGGAAACGAACGATTTTTTGCGTCTAGAGGGCCTCTTGGGGGGAATCTTGGATGCCTGTGGGGGCGTCTGGGGAGGCCTCGTGAGCCGTCGGGAGGTCGTCGTCGATGTTTATGATCGCTCTTGGACCGTCTGGGACCATGTGGAGCTTCGGGGAGGCAACTCGGAGCGCTCCTGGAACGCTCTTGGGGCCGTTTTCGGAGCCCTCTTGGGCCGTCTTGGACGCCTGTTGGCCCATCTTGGGCCCTCTAGGGGTCTGTGGGGGACCCTCTGCGAGGCTTCTGGGGCCGTCTGGGAGCGGGTTTGGGAGCCTCTTGGGCCGTCGGGGAGCATCGGAAAGATCCAAAGCTGATTTTTTTTTAAATGTACATTTCACAGTGGGAATGGCCCAATTTTGGCGTCTAGGGACCCTTGTGGAACGCATCTCGGAGGCCCTCGGGGGAGCTCGTGGGGACCTCTTCTGCCGTCGAGGACGCCTCGTGGCCCGTCTTCGGGCAAACTTGGACGTCTTGGAGCGCTCGTGGGGCGTCCCAAACCCATTTCGAGGCCACCAGACGCGTCCCTACACGAATTTCACGTGTTTTTCCACGTTTTTCGGGAGCGGATGAGACCTCCGGGGGGTTCCGGCCCGTCCGGCCGGACCCCCCCCCCCCTCCAAATGGACCGGACCGGGCTCCCGGGGGAGGGGTTTGGGGAGGGGGAACATCTCACACGCCGATGAACCCCAAGGGGTCGGCGGATTTTGGCTTCAAAGAAGAGGAGAGGGTTTGTTCTGGCCCCCCCGTCGGGGCCAGAATCCTCGTGGGGGGTGTCGTTTCTTAGCCCTCCCAGGAGTCGAACATTACTCCCCTGACGACCCGCGGAGGGACCTCTCCAGGCCCAGGGGAGGGGGTAGGGGGAGGGGTAAACCCCTCCCCGAAGGGGAAGAAGGAGGGTTGAGAACAGAGCGGGCTCTCCAAACCACTCACGCCCAAGGGGCTGGTGGGACTTTGCGGAACGCGCGCGGTTTCTGGGGAATCTGGGGGTTTAAGTTTCTTGGGATTCCGTTGTGGGCGGTTGGCGGATCGCGGCTCTGTTCTTGGGCTTCTGGGCTCTCTTGGCAGCCCTTTTGAGGCCTCCTGGGGGCCGTGTTGAGGCCTGTAGGGCTCTATGGGCCTCTTTTAGGCCTCTCGGGGGCCTCGTGGGAGCCTCTTGGGGGCCTCTTGGCACCTCCTTGGGTTTTTGGGGGGCCGAGTGCTCGAAATGTCCAGTCGGGTTCTCCCTCTGGGCCTCCTCTTGGAGCCGTCCTGGTGCCCTCCTGGGCCGTTTTGGATGCTTCTGGAGCAGTCTTGGGGCCCTCATGGGCCGTCTTGGCGCCATCTTGGGGGCCTCTTGGGCTATCGTGGGTCGATCTTCAAGGCTTCTTGGGCTGTTGTGGGCCTCGTGAAAGCCCAAGAGGCGAATGTGCTAAAATATACGTAGCACCCCGCAGTTGCGGATAAGAGTGAGGGGGCGGCGAGGACGTCGTCAGTCTGCGAATATCTGAAGAAGCCCGCCGCAGGCGCCTAACTTTTATTACAAATCATGCAATCAGCCCGCTGCAGGCGCCGATTTTCTCGTTAAAGCAATGTGGGTGGATCGCGGGGTGTGTCGCGGGTGGATTCGCGGGCTAGGGCGCGGGTGGGTCGCGGGTGGGTCACGCATAGGTCGCGGGTGGGTCGTGGGTCGCGGGGTGGGTCGCAGGTGGGTCTCGGGGTGGGTCGCGGGGTGTGACGCGGGTGGGTCACGAGGGGGTCACGAGGCGGGTCGCGGGTGGGTCGCGGGTGGGTCGCGCGTTGGGTCGCGCGTTGGGTCGCGGGTTGGGTCGCGGGTGGGTCGCAGGGGGGACGACGACAACAAACAACAATAACAGCAACAGCAGCAGCAACAACAACACCACCACCACCAACAACAACAACGCAACAAGCAGAATCCTGACCACGGATTCCCTCTTCCGCCACGCACCCAGGGACAATGAATGACCGTTCGGCCCCCTCTTCCTGACGTTTTCTTTCGGGAATGAGACGATGTTTGCTTCTGGAGGGCCTCTTCGGACGCTTCTTGGTGGCTTCTTGGGGCGTCTTGGGAGCCTCTGAGGCCGTCTGGTCTGGAGGTAATCTTGGGCGTCTTGGAGCGATCTTTGGCGACTCGTAGTCCTCTTGGACCGTCCAGGGGGGCATTTGGGGACCCTGTTGGCCCGTTTTGTGGCCCCCTGGGGCTTCAAGGGTGCAGCTGGCACTTTTGCCCCCCACCCATCCACCCTCCAAACCGGCCGGACCGGGCTCCCGGGGGAGAGGTTTAGGGAGGGGAAAGCATCTCACACGTTGTGACCCCAAGGGGTCGGCGGATTTTCCGAGCGAGCCATGATGTGGACCTTAAATGGCCCCCAAAGGTCCCCAACGGCGCCCAGGAGTACCGCAAGAGGGCTCCCAGAGATCCGCCCAAATTGACAATCTCGTGACCAAGCGCGCAGACGCATGTCCAAGTATGCCTCAATACAGTTCCGTGATCGACCGAAACGCACTCCGGGATGGCCGCAAGAGGGCCCCATCAGGTCCTCAGCAGGCCCTGATGTAAGGCGCCTTAAGAGACAGCCCCACCGGGGTGCACCACCAAGGCTGAATCTGCTGCCTGGCCCAGCGAGGACTTCGGTCCGTGGTGTGTTCCCCTCTCGACGGCTGGCTGGGGGCGGTTACCGCCAGATGTGTCCGCCACCTGGAATCCACGACGCGGGTTGCGGGCAGCGGCCATCCCATCCTTCAAGGATTGGGAAACCGGCGAGGGGAGCTTTGCCGAGCAGATGTTTGCCTTCCTGTGCAAGCGACTTTTTTGGCTCTGGCCGCCCAGGGAGCTTGTGGAGCCGTACCGCCTGCGGCGAGAGCAGCCGCAGAAGGCGTGCGAACGATCGCCAGACTGGTGACATGCCGCACCGCCTCAGAGGCGAAGAGAGAGCCGCTGGACAGAGGTGATCGCTCCTGGTGCTCCCCCGAGGCCGACCCTGGCTCGCCGGCGGTGATGACCTCCGCGCGGCACTCGGAATCGGGCGCCGCACGCAGGTCACCACCGCTGGCGGGTCGGCGTCGGCTTTGCGGGCCTGGGAAGGCGCAAGGGGCGGTGCCCTCGGCCCGGCAGTTGTGGTCCCAGACATGCGATGATTTGATTCTTTGGATACGGGTTCCCCAGATGTCCCGACCCTTTCCCAGGGACGGTTTTTCATCGCGAGCCGTTTTTTGACGGTTCTGGTGCCAGTCGAGGGCCCCTAGAGGCCGAACATTGCCAAAAACCCTTCTGCCGTCATGCCTGGGGTTGTCTCTCCTCCGCTCCTGAGCAACAGCTCATTTACCAGCCCAGCCGCCAGACAAAGGTGACTCTGGCGCGCGTGTGTACAGCAGAGCGCAGGAGCTGGCACGACCGCTTTCTCTCTCAGGCCACGGTTCACTGCATGAGTTTGCTTGTTGCAGGTCGGCCCGTGTGGAATTCCCAGTTTATTTGGTGACCTTGCTATCAGCATTGTGGCGTCAGCCCTGGCAAGTCGAAATCATGTCGCGCGCTCTTCCCCCTTGAAGCAGAAAAAAACAGCAGATCACTAGCTTGAAGCATGTCCTTATCCTTATGATTGGCATCACCTTACCTCGGTGCCGATCTTAAGGGTTCCCTCAGTTCCTGAGGGCACATCCCTAAGGTGGTCACCGCCTTGGGCATGCCGATCTTAGGGCTGGCTAGCAGAGCGCAGGAGCCGGGGCCCAGATGAGGGCGCACGGCAGGCTCGCGGCGTGTTGGCGCTTGCGGCGATCCACCGGCGCGGGTGTTGAGGGCTGACCGCCAGAGGCGGCCTGGGATCGGCCGGCATGCATGGAACGGCGCGCGCTGTCGCAGAGACGCGGTCATCCCAGATCTCCGATCGGAGATTTGGGTCGCTGACCACATGCGGACCCTACCCCCACCCATCACGACTTCTAAAGGGGGGGGGTCACTTCGTTCGGGAGCTTCCGAGCGAAATTAACCCCCACCCACCCCCAGAGATCGTGGGGGGTGGGGGTAGGGTTCACATGTTGTCACCTACTGGGATCGGAGAACTGGGACGACCGCTGGGATTGGAGTCAGCCCCGACGGTTTTTCCTCGACTGCGGCCTCCATGGCGCGAGCCCCTAGGCCAGCAGGCATGGACTTGGGACGACAAAGTTGGCCCCGGGAGAGGGGTCGGACGTGCAGAAGCCGCAGTTTGGAACGAGCATACAGCAGGATGTCTGGGGGTCAAGGTTCTAGGCCTCCCAGATGGGGTCGGAGCAGATAAGGTCGGAGGATCGCGCCGCATCGCCGATGCATCGGCGATGCATTGTCGATGCGGCGCGATCCTCCGACCCCATCTACTCCGACCCCATCCGGGAGGTCTCTAAACGTGCAGCGATCCACGCGGTGTCAGGGACCATCGCGCAGGTTGTCACGACACAGGCTCGCTGTGCGCGTGGACGGTGACCCTGCGCCAGAGTGGCCTGGTGCGCGGCTGCCGGCGGGGGGCGCGAGGGGTCCAGACCTGAGCAAGCTGGACTTTGTTGCCGCATCGAATGCAACAATTGGAGACCCGCACACTGATGCAGGGCCCATGTCGATCTAATCGACCGATTCGGCATCGATCCGCTGGCCCGATTTGATTGCGGTATTCCGACGATCCGATGCAGCCCGATGCTCGCACGGCGCTGTTGTGCATCCTGGCGCGGCCGGCTCGATTGGAGATCAGCTCCGCGCCGATGCAGCTCCGATCCAGCGCACGTTCCCATTCGATCCGATTTCCCGCTGTGGTGCCATATGGTCCTGCTCTTGCCTGGCTGGCGGCGAAGCGTCCTGAGTTGCTTACCGGCTCACGTCCAGCACGACATGTTTTGGGACGATATATGGCTGACGCAGTCTTGGGAAATGCTCCGGTTCTAAGAGCATGTGTCGCCGCGCCGTTTGTTCCGACGCGCGGCATTCCGTCTTGGGGAGGGCGCCGCGACCACCAGAGCAAACGCCGCCTCGGGCGAAGGGCTTGCTGTGGGTCTGCCGAGGATGCCGTGGTATCGGCGTCGTCCACCTTGGGCGCGTCGAGAACAAGCGGAGGTCAGAGCCCCGAATCATCAGGGTAACTCGGGTCAGGGATAACTCGGGTTCGTTTTTCGGGAATCCAAACCCGAGTTACCCCGGACCCGAGTTACCCCGGATAACTCGGGCGTCCAGGGCCCCGAATCATCAGGGGTAACTCGGGTCAGGGCTAACTCGGGTTCCTTTCTGGGGAATCCAAACCCGAGTTACCCCGGACCCGAGTTACCCCGGATAACTCGGGCGCCCAAGGAGGCGGCGACACGTTCCTTTTGTGTTTTAGAACATGCTTTCATGAAGCTGCGTCCCCCAAGCGGATTGGTGCAATGCTTTTTTTTGGTTTTCCGAAGCAGCAATTTTTAGATGTCCAAGGCTTTTCGGATGTTCTTTGTTCAGAAGTTATTGCGTCGCCGACCCGCTCCGATGTTGAGCATCCGGCGTGCGGTTTGCGCGCAATCTCGGTTCGACGCGTCATTCGAGCGGTGTCGCCCCCAGTCGGTTTCCGCCTCGTCTCTCTGCTATCCTTTTTCTTTGAAGTTCAGAGTCGCGTTTTCGGGTGTCGTTTCAGCTCGCGGTGGCCTCTTCGGGGGTCTTGTGCGCGTCGTGGCCCATCTGGAAGCCATCGTGGGTGTCGCGGACCCTCGACGATTCGAAGCCCTCTTGGGCCGTCTCGGGCGCCTCTAGAGGCCGTTTTGGATCGCTTTGGGGCGCCTGAAAGCCGCGCCCAGGGGAAAAAGATCTCTGGCTCGACCTGGCGGGGCACTTTGCGTCCTGAGGCCCCTATGGGCCGCCCCGCGCGCGCGAAGTATAATTACTGCGAGGCGGTCGCCAGAGATCTTCGCACGCCTCTGGCCCGTTGAGCTGGCGAGTTTCCCCCGAGAAGCATGTCCAGTGTGCTATGGGGCGCGCGACGAACGGGCGGGCCAATTTCGACGATTCCTTCTCTCCTCCTCTCTTGCTGCTGCTTCCCATTATTTCCTCTTCCTGCTGCTGCTGCTGGCCCCCCTGCTGGTGCCGCTCCCTTTTTTTTTCTGTACTTACCGTCGCTGGTGTTGCGCGGGCGCGCCTGCTTGGCATGCCGGCGCGCCGGGCAGGCCCGCGATTTCGGCCACGATTTCGCCTGCGATTTCGGACACCATTTTGTCCACGATTTCGGACGCGATTTTGCCCGCGATTTTCGGCCACGATTCTGCGCCTCTTTTCAAGGCGCCACGAAACCACCCACGATTTTGAACACGTTTTTTTTCTGATTGATTTTATTGTCAGGAAAATCGCTGTCAAAAAAGTGTGCCTCCACGGAGGGGAGGCCAAGCAAAAAGTGGGCAAGATCGGGGCCAGAAAAATGCCCCAAATCGTGGCCAAACGGGGGGGGGCAGAGCGCCGCGGAAAGGCGGCGGGCCCTCGCACCGGGCAGCGCTGCCTCGCGCGGCGGGTTCGCGACTGCGCCGCCGCGCCCGCGGCCGGCCGCTGAGGCTTCGAAGCCGACGTTCGCCGTCGGGCCCTTCTTCTCTGCCACCAGCGCAGCCGCGCGCCGCGGCCCCCATGGGAAAGCGCCGGGGCCTCGCCGCGGTTGCGGCAGAGTCTGCACCAGCGGCTCCCGCGCCCGCGGTGGGCCCCGCGAGCGCCGCTCCCCGGAGGCGGGGTTTGCTCGACATGCGCGGGCATGGGATCCAATCGATTCCGGCGCCCCGCCATTTCCCCACGCGGCGCTCGCGCTCGGGCGTTTATTCTTCATGTGGGGCTTCCAAAGTGGCCCTTTCTTGTGGTCCGTCGGTCTCTCGCCGGCGCGTTCCATTGTAAATCAGTTTGGGGGCTTCTCCCGCGCGAGATATCGGCCGCGCGGTTGGGGCGGCACCTAGCGTTTCGACGGCTGCGAGCGCGCCGATTCCGTCTGCGCTTCGACGTCTGCGCGCGTCCAAATTCGCGCGGACGCTATGCCCAGCGATCGCGGAACGAAACGTCATCGCGGTGATGAGTTCCATAGCGGTCGCGTGACGGCCTGGCACGGGGGCCGCGTTGGTCGCGCATCCGCGGCGCGCCCGGCGGACGCAATTCAATGGCAGGGACAGGCGGCGCGCGGCCATTCGATTGCGCGCGGGCGTTCCATGATGCTTCCGCGCGCGGCCCAGCTCGTGGAAAGCAGCGCGTTGGACATTTTCCCACTTTGAAATCGCTGCGGCCCCTTGGGGGGGGGGGCTTTGTTTGACAGAGAATACGTCGCGGTGGGCCCAGCGCGGCAGGGGCGCCGGGGCGGTCGACCCCCGCTCCAGCGAGTGGCCAGCGCGAGGGCAGCGGCCGCCCGAGAAGGCGGGGGGGGGCCTTCTTGGGGCGGCAGGCGGCCTCTCGGACAGGAGCTCCCCCGGCTTCTCGGAGGCCTTCTCAGAAGCAGCCGGGCGCTTCCAAGGAGTCGAAGAACTGAGCTTAGATTCTCGCTGCGCGTTGCTTCATTCGGCAGTTGCCCGGCGGAGCTCCGCTCGCGCGCAATATTTTCTTGGTTGCTTGGCGCGGGCACCGTGAGTTCGTGCTTCATTCTCCGCGCAGGGTTCGCTGCCCGCTTTGTGGCCTCCGCGTGGCGCCCCCCGAATCACCCCCCCATTGCGTCCTCGCGCCCATCCCCGTCGCCCTCCGCGCCATCCCTGAATGCGCCCCCTTGTCTCGACAGGTATCGCCATCGCTATCGGGGATGTCGGTCGGCACGGTCGTTCGAACGCTGGGGGCGCAGACGCGCGGCGCTCGCATTTCTGACATCGAGATTGGTTGCGCCGGGGCATTGCGAACGCATTTAGGATCAGATGGGAGAGAGGCGGGAGGGGGGAATGGGTTGCGACGGCGCTCGGCCCCATC